GCAAGCAGCAGGGGCTCACAACTTAATTGTGATTTCCACCATCACCACAAAATGTCCGTTAGCCCACTGATCCAGAGATAACAAGAGACACGAGGCAGACCTGCACTCAACCCATGACTTAAGTCATAAACCTCTGGCTCCCAGTTGACCTACAAAGAGAATAAATTAGTGATGTTTTAACTGAAATTTGAACTGGTTACATAGCATTATTGAGCCAATAATGAACTGTTACAGCCCATTTCAGCCAAAGTGTATGTAGCATAACCCATTGGATGGGAAGAGGATCTTTATGCAAAACTTGATTGTCCTTTCTACAAAGTAGCCCTGCTGTGCCACTGGCAGTCAGTCTAGCACATCCTCTCTCAAATTGCTCCCTAAAAATCTAGTGGTCCCACTTCCACATCTATCGATCTCCCCCCCTTCTTCACCAACATCATTTGTGCCAAGATGTCCAGTGATCCCCAGTGACAATGTAATTATGAACCAAAGACACCATTGCAAATGCTTCTTTTACACTTTCATCCCACTCTGATCTTTTCACGGGAGTCTCCTATTTAGGATTAATTCAGGATGTTCATTCAATCAAGACCATACTCTTTCTTACTCTCTCCATAATGGAACAGTAAGGAACAGTAAATTTGCCATAGGGATATTTGACACGTCATTTTCTCTCTCCAGGAACACTACGCCATCTACTGGTCCCAGAATCAATTTTAGCCTAGACTCCAGGAAAGCAATCCTTATCTTCAACACATGGACGTTGCAGTTATTTAGTAACACTCAGTGAATAACAGAAAGAAATGTGTTATAAAAATTTATAGTACTACTTAAAGTTGCAGGCATTAAAACTGTCCTTCCCACAGGCCAAATCTTACTTCCTGGCTATTGGTAAGACGTGCAAATGACTAAGACATCTTTCTTTTATAAAAATATCATTTCCACTCATGTGCCTGGCACACAGCAGACATTCCACAAATGTTTGCTGAACTGAATATACGGGTTTCCTTCTCCCAGAGAGGAGCCTCCTGAGCAACCAAAATAAACGTGTCTTCCTTCAACACACTTCATCCCAGCCATTAGCCTCGTTTCCCATATCCACTAAAATTGTTCTGAGCATAAAAACCTGATTTTCTAAGCAAAAGATAGGTTCTTCCATGTATTAAAGAAGGGATGATGAAAACCAGTGAATTTTTCTTTCTTCTGTCTCCTGCCCCTCCCCCACATGTCTCCATACAATTCATTCTGTAGCATTGCCCTAAGACTAGGCCTGCTTTGACATTCCAAACGTATGTCCGGAAAAGCATTTAGAAGTGACCAAAGTCATGATGGATAGTCATTAATTCTGTTCATTAAGCATTTCCGGCTTTTGATCTTCAGAGCAAATGGTTAGATTGCATTTCCCGGCCCCTTGTTGCTACAATAGATAGGGCAGTGGGTCAAGGGACTGTGACCAGAAGTGGTGTGTGGGGGTGGCTTCTGGGCCAGAGCATTTAACTGCCAGAACTCTCCATCCTTCTGTCACAGTCGTTTATGACATTCAAAGTGTGGATGCTCAGCCAGCTTCATCCCAATGTGGATGACTCAGAAATTTACCAAATTTCTCAGGTGCCTACAATGGTGTGCTCAGGGCTAATGCACACAGATATGAGTCTGTGATAAAGCTCCTCAGAGTGGTTTAGTGCACATCCTGTGTGACTACATATGACTATCCCAACTGTATAAAAAAAGCTGGAGAAAACAGAAACAGAAATGAATCCCACTTCAGTAATCTGAGGTTACGCGGGCGCGGGAGGCTCAGGTTTAGCCCGACATAAAAGCCTGGGAGCCTGAGGCAAGAGGATCGTAATACAGCGAGGGGCTGTCAAAAAAAAAAAAA